CTTCTTCTTCTTCTTCTTCTTCTTCTTCTTCTTCTTCTTCTTCTTCTTCTTCTACCTCTCCCGCGCCTTCTCCTCCTCATCCTTTTTCAGTTGGCTAAGAATATCATATTATCAAAATGATCAATCCAACTTTCTATTAAGCTGATGTTGACAGCATACAAGGTTCATCTCGAAAACAACCAGGTGATAAAACGTTTCAAGCCATTGTGTTCCAATCACAAGAAAACGCGTGGTGGATATCAATGTAAGCTGGTAATATCTTTAAAAGAATCGGTTCAAATCTCCCTAAAGTCTTAAAGGGCACGATTAAGCAACCAGATATTTCAACATCAGGCCTACCTGCAACATAAAAACAACTTCTGCAACAGTTACTCAACCTGATGAAGCGTAATCAAGTGGAGCTAGTACCCTTACTGGCCTTACTAGGTGCTTTCACCGAGGAATCAAACACGCCACATTCACTCCCGAAAACCACTTCTCAGACGGCCAGAGATTATTAATTGAATACAGGTAACGGTCATAAGGATATATTATTATTATATCGTGCTTGCCCGAGGCACCGTACGTCACGCGATGCAGTTACAGAACAAATACTTCTTGCAAAGGACACGAGAACAAAGCTGGGAACGCGCGGCTGTCCGTCAATTTACCTTCCCAAAAAGAATATTTGCCGTGCCGCAAAACGCAAACGCTTAACCTTGTCGCTCCCAAACAGAAGGGGACGGCAGGACGGAAAGTGGGAGAAAACAGTTCCTGAAACAGGTTTCTCCAGTAAGCTAAATTCAATACGGCACGGGGAGAAATCGATTAATGCTGGCAGCAAAAGCAAACACATGGGGAAAGTCTTGCCAAAATAAGTGTTCGCAGCTTATATCGGCGAGCATAGCTAGATCTAGCTGCTGGTGACTGCCCCTTGGGTCACTAATGCACTTTGGTAATCCAAATCTGTTGTGATAACGGAGGAAAAATAAATCTTTTTCCCCTTTTTATTAAATTGTTTAAACAATGTTGAGTAACTGTTGTTTTGTGTTGTTGTTGTTTTTTTATCGATGTATTATATTGCTCTTTTCAAAAGGGAAAAAAAAATCTGACCAAAGACAGTTCTGAAAGTCTATGGATTTAGCACACTATTGCTAAGAGTTACTTCACGAAAAAGGAATTACATATAGGCCTATTTTTCATCAAAAGATGGTCAAAGAACAAGATTTGAGACGATACCAATAGCTCCAGATTACCAAAAATTGACGAGCGCCTGATTCTACCCCCATGTGACACTGTAAAAAACCCACCCATTTTCACTGGGAACACAAAGGAAACATGGCAACAACACACAGAAAAGTATGCAGACCCCAATAGAGTGACGAAGTGACAAACTACCATGACGCAAAAAGAATGGGGTATGTTTGTGTGAGGAAAGGTGTCGGGAACAGGTGTATAAAATACAATAATTTATAATATGCGCGCGTGCTGTGTGTGTGTGTATGTGTGTGTGTGTGTGTGTGTGTGTGTGTGTGTGTGTGTGTGTGTGTGTGT